GCTCTGGGAGAGGGGATTAGCATCGAAATGAAATAATATGGATGATTCAGGTCTATCTCAACACTGACAAAAGTGCCATAAAACCATGGCACCTCTTTCCAAAAGATAATACTTCAAATGGCCATTTGGGGAGGGAATCTTCCCTTTGAGCCTTCAGCAAAATCTGCTAAGTCAGCAAAGGTAAGGCAGCACTGTGGACCTAAGCCCAAACGTGTAAATCACAGCATTAGGTAACATTTTCCGTGGAGCAGAAAATACCAGCTTTTCCTTCCCTCCCTACACTCTCCACAATACTCGCAATTAGGAAAACAAAAGGTACAGATGCCCTTGCGATTAGCTGGTAGAAAGAAGTGTGAATCAACTAGGGAGGCAGAAAAGACACCCATCGGCTGCCCCGTAAGAGGCGAGTCTGTGGGCATCTCAACGTTGCGGGTGACACTGATTGCAACCAGCGGGAACGAACGGCAGGAGAGGTCTAAAGACTTGGAAGCAGCGGGCTCTCTCAGCGGCCGAGGGAGAGGTGGTCTGGATGAGAAGAAAAGCCTATCTGGCATGCTAAAACTGGAAGACGGAACAGGAAGAATGAATGAGGCCTGACTGGCAGAGAAGGTCTCTTCCCGGATCACTGGGCAGGAGAACTTCTCGTCCCTTCTATGCCTGGACATGGCACTGCTCCCGGGCTGGCGGAATCCTCCCACTGCCTCCCCACCCATCCGAAGCCTCCTCACCCTTCAAGGCCCCACCTCAAACCTCACCACCTCCATGAAGCCACATTTCCTTCCAAACTTGGCCTAATTCTATGTTGCTCTCTGTTTTAGGTTTTTATCCCTTCTCCTAGACTGTGACTCCTGACGGGCTGAGGTCATGACCTAGATCCTTGATTGCCTCCCGGCCATCGGCACAGAGCTAGAAGCTGGACAGGGGAGGAGATGTAGAGCGGGCGGCCAGGTTAACAGGAGAGGAGACATGAAGGCAAGAACACGTTCTCATTCTACAGAAGCTCAGGTAAGACCACAGGAGTAAAACCCTGTCCCTTTTTCCTCTTCCACCTCTTCTAACAGAGGATTCTGTACCGCACCAGCAAACCGGCAGGAGTGTGGGTGAGACACGTGGTCACTCGGATTTCACCGCGAGGCTGCAAGTTCAGTGGGTGAATCCGAGGCGGCAGAGATGCACGGCGACCTCGGCCTAAAGCATGGTCTAGAGCTAGTTGCATTGGACCCAGACTCCTGGCTTTTCCTTGATGGTCTCCAAGACAAGAGGTTCACACCCTCTGCAAAGCACTCGTCTTACTATCAAACAACTCATTGTTTTAGAAAGTTCTTGGCAAAACAGGTGACTCCTGACATCCTGAGATGGATCCCCCCAGTTTCAGCTACCCTAGAGTATCTCATTTTCACACGCTTCCCTGGTTTCTTCTCCCCTGGAGTGGCAGGGTCCCAATGTTCACGCCTCCCGCTTGACAAGCCCCCCAGCAGCACCAGTTATGAGAAAGACAGAGACGAGCACCTGGGCTCCTCGGCTCACCTGGAGGCCTCTGTGCTGCAAAGCACATGGCTGTGAGGACCCGTGATCCCGAAGGTTCTTGCACAAGGACCCTCAACAGCTGAACATGGGACATCTCAGCTCCAGTTTTGACAGACTTTAGGTAATTTTTTTTTTTTTTTAAGATTTTATTTATTTGAGACAGAGAGAATGAGAGACAGAGAGCACGAGAGGGAGGAGGGTCAGAGGGAGAAGCAGACTCCCTGCCGAGCAGGGAGCCTGATGCGGGGCTCGATCCCGGGACTCCGGGATCATGACCTGAGCCGAAGGCAGTCGCCTAACCAACTGAGCCACCCAGGCGCCCCAAACAGCCCTCATTTTATCTGACCC